CATGGAGAAGAGGGGTTCACTGCTGGACTGACAGGAATCAGTGAGGATTGGGGTGCTCATGGAGAATGGTGTAAATGATGAAGAGTGTAGAGTCGTGTTTAAGTTGTACAATCTTCATTTGACCTCATTTATAATCTTTTGGGACCAAGAATTTTAAGGAAGAGTAAGCAGTCTCATTAAAGTCTGAATATGTGCCAATACATTCAGCTTTAGTCCACACATTTCAAATCCAAAGCGGTTTCATGTCCTTGTGATCTACAAGGTCTGTCACACATCTCTTCACAGACACACACTCACAACGAGACACACTCAGACTGTGTAGTTGTTTCTACCCGAGTACATTGATCCTCATCAAGACCACTAAAGATCTTAGGATATCCTGCAGCCAAGAAGTGAAGATAGTCTGCATCTATCCGTTAACTGTTGACTGTACAATACTTTTAGGGTGCTGTTTGTGTATAATATTATACAGTTATGGACAACGCTTTATAGAAAACCATTTCTGCCATAGAAGAATCCATTCTGGGCACAGATGAACTGGATCTCTTTAGTCTTGAATAGAGTAGAGTATGAAAACTTGATCTCTTTAATTTTTAACAGGCTAGATTAAGAAGGAACCTGAAATGTTCACATTCCCCAAAGCCTTTGACAAAGGCAAACCAGCGGACTTCTTCAGAATGACCAGTGATATGCAGGCCAGAGGACATGAGAAGACACTGCAGTGCAGAACAGGCCTCCCAGGAGCAAGTTTCCTTTGAGCACCAACTGGATCTGTAATGTTACAGTTCTCAGTGTGTATTAATGGATTGGTGGTAGAAATTGATTTCATTATCTCATCCAGCTGTTTCTTGAAAAAGCCCGGGTACCTGAGTGCAATTAAAAGTCATCAGTTCATTCTGCCCTACTGTCTCCAGCACTCAGACGTCTTGTCAGCTGACCTGATCTTCTCTTGGCATCTGATTCTGGTTTCTATCCTTATTCCCCGTGACCTCAGTGCTGCGTTTGACACTGCTCGCCTCAGTGTTTTTCGACACCCTTCTGAGATCATGTTTGGAGTTCCTGACACTGCCCTTCGATGGTTCCACTTTAACCTTGCTGATTGACGACTTGTTATCTCTCTTGGGGTTTCAGGGCTGAATTTGGGTTTGTTTGCTTAGTCTGGGTTTCCTCAGGGCTC